GGCTCCGCCGGCGCTCGCCGGGAAACGTACCGCCGCTCCGAGCTGCTCCTGCCCCACGGGCACGGGCTGGATGCCTCCGCGCTGGCCGATAACCTGGGCCTGCACGACATGGCTCACCAGATGGAGGAGGTGCAGGTAAGGGTCCTGTGTCGTCCCCCCACCCCGCGGGACAGGCGCTGCCGGGAAGCCCGGACGCCCTGCGGCGGAGCCGGGGCACCGTCCCCTTCTGCACCTTCACCTGCCCTATCCCCGTCCTTGGAACGAAACCCGCCTTTTCTCCTCGTCTGCTCTGAAACTGGGGACGCGTGGGATGGGGGTGTCCCCCAAAAGCCCCCATCTCCTTTCCTCTCAGCTTTTCAAGGTGCGAAACTTTCTCCCCTTTCTCTTTCCAGAATGTGGAAGATCAACACTTACTAATGCATGACCAGACAGTCATTAGAAAAGGTCAGTAAAGTGGCACTGCAGTTTGCTTTCCCTTGTCAATAGTTAAAAAGTTTAATGACGCACCGGTGAATTGACGTCTTATTATCTTTAAAAAGACAAATCCTTTCGGATCGGGAGGGCAGAGAAGTTGTTGTTGCACTCCCGTAGTCGCTGGATTTTTGTGTCTAGCGCCATCCGAGGGAAGTGCCAGTGGGGACAAACCCTGGGCGGGGGGACCCCGGTCTTCCCCCTCGGAACAGCCCCTGCCCTTGTGTGCGGCCTTAATCGAAACCGGGACCTTGGATACAACGTAATGCTGCCCTGGAGCACACGTGTAAAGGGACAGGGGGTTTTTGGGTTGTTTTGGTTTTGGTTGGGCTTTTTTGTTGCAGCACTCGAAGGAATTTTTTTTTTTCTTCTTCTTTTGTTGTTATTTTTTCTTCAACTTCTTCAAGAGACTGAAGAAGGGAACGAATTTGCTGACATAAGCCTGCTCGGCTTTACCTTAACCGAAATTGCTATGTAGCTGAGGTTTTAAGGAAGGAGAAAGACGTATTGACTCAATTTACAATCATTTAGGGTTTGGTTTTTTTTTTTTTTTGTTTTGGTTTTTTTTTTTTTTCTTCCTTCTTTCCCTGCTTTTGTTTTTAAACAAATTTGTGCTTTAAAAAAAAAAATATCGGTAGAAGTTTCCTGTGAAGACTTCAAACAAATACCTAACTGAGGAAAAGCAGAAGTGTTTGTCAGAGCGCTGATTGCTGCCTTTAGCTCATGGGAGAATAATTTCGTTGTCAGATGCACCACTGAAAAATCTTTCCCCCTCCGGGGATCAGGGCCGACCTCGGCTCTTTAACCCTTTCGGATCAGTGCTGCTGCCAGGTTAACGAGTGAATCCACCCGGGATGGAAAAGCTGGATGTGTGGCTCACTTCTTGCCAAGCCTTTCTGGTCCCTGTTCACTTAAAGTCTGAAGCCATTAAGGAGCAAAGTTTTACTTTCAGTTGTTCTCTGGGCTCCGTCCCTGTCTCTGCTGTGCTGTCTGTTACAAATTTGTTGGAGTTAAATTCCAAAGGCAGCTTCTTACATCCTCATGTGCGTGGTGGAAGGTGAACCCCAGCAGGAGCTGGGAGGCTTCCCCCTGCCCTGGCTTGGAAGGGTTTTTGGCAGCAGTGAAGGATGCTAATTTGGAGTCTGTAGCTGAATCGGGATTTCTATAAGCATGGATTTACTAACTTGCAGAGTGCTGCACCAGAGACGTGAGGGTTTGTGCATTTTTTAAACGTATTCCTAGCTGTGTTCGGCAGCTCCTTGAAATTTAGTGTGGCAAAATACAGATGCTCGGGATTAGTTGTTTGGGACCTTTAAGCTGCAGCCGAGCCCTGTGCTGCAGATAAATGCTGGGGATGGGGAGGCAGTGGTGTGAGCATTTAGCACAAAACGAAATATCTCTCCTGCTATCTTTTCGTAGAAAGGAAATTCACTTGCCTCTTCCTATTTTTCGCTTTTATAAAATACCTGTTTTCCCTCCTTCTCCCACAGGTCCCATTTCCTTAACGAAAAACAGTGCTCTGAGTCTTCCCTGCCAAAAGGACGGACTAATTGGAGTGGTCATAAACCCCAATGAAGTATTTTGTTCGGTTCCGGGCAGACTTTCCCTCCTGAGCTCCACATCGAAATACAAAGTGACAGTAGCAGAGGTGCAGAGGCGGCTCTCGCCCCCCGAATGTCTCAATGCCTCTTTGCTAGGAGGAGTACTCCGAAGGTAGGTAGACTCCCACTCCACTCCCAGCCATCCCCATCCTGTCTATTGTCTGTGATTTTCCTTGTGCTTGTGGGAGCAGCCGGATTAGCATAACGAGGAGCTAAGAAAGCTTTGTAGCGAATTTCTGATTCTTAAGAAGCCCAGCAACACTGAATCCTAATAGGCTTTGGAAATAAAACTTCTTTGCACTTCTGCTACTTCTTGAGAAGTGCTATTAACAGTTCTGACAGCAATTCTCATTCTGTTTGAAGTTGAATTTTTGTCTCAAAAACTCCTCATGGAGCTTTCTTATTCCTGTGACAAACTGTTTCCCCATGGAATGATTTTTGGATTAAATCTCGTGGTCTTGATTAATCATTACAAGGATGCTTTGTATGTCCTTTTTTGCATACACTCAGTTTGGCTTGTAATCGTTCTACAGCTGTTTGCTTTGATGGTACAGTTAGAAGCATTTTGATTTTGACCTCTGCTATATTTCATCCTGGCTGAACTGTAGTAGGACATTTAAAAACTAGGTCACTCGAAAAGAGCCTGGTTTGTATTCCCCCCAAGTAGAACCCTATTGAATGTCAGTAACTGGAATTTCTCATCTTTAAAAAGAAGTGTTCCCTGAAGATAAATAAGGACATTTTTTTTTCTCTTTAATTACAGAGCTAAATCTAAAAATGGTGGCAGATCATTAAGGGAAAAATTGGATAAAATTGGCTTGAATCTTCCCGCTGGTAGAAGGAAAGCTGCAAATGTGACGCTATTGACATCTTTGGTGGAAGGTCAGTCTTAAACATGTCTTAAAAATAAACTCTTTTTTCCTTGTGGATAGCTTTTATCCTCTAGGCAAAGCATGGAAAGGGTAGAAAGTCAATGAACATAATAAATAGAGAGGGTTTTGTTTGTTTTAAAATGAGTATGATGGGGGCACTGCAGCAACTAACAGCTGGTCTTACCTTTGAGGGCCTCCTCTCCTCTTCTTCTCCCTTCAAATTTGGTTGCTATGCCCTTGGCCTCAGAGCCCTACCTCCACAAACCCAGCTGATGCTCCTCTTCCTCATGGCTGCATAGCAGGGATGCTGGCAGGGATGCAGTAACTCCTATATGCCAAAATGTTCAAAATGCATCTTTGTCCAGTCTGTGTTTCTTGAGGGCCGGGTGGGGGTTAGGTTGTTTCAGATTTTGTGGGCAGGGGAGGCAAAAAAGGGGTGAAACTCACCAAATTAGTGGGTTTAGTTCCTTACTGAGAAACTGTAAAATCTGGACAGCTGACTCTAGCACCTGGCCCTACCTCAGCAGTGTCCTCAGCAGCTTTTCTAATAAACAAGCATATAAAGTGAGATTTATAGCTTCTGACTTCCTGATAAGAAACTGGAGCCCCTTGAATCTGTAACGTTATATGGACCCTCTGTCAGTGAAACTGACTTGAAGGCTGTGTATGTATATGTATGTGTGTGGTTGTTTTGTGCGTCTGTTTAAAGCAGCTCCTGGTAGTGGTACAATTTAACAGGAATGGAAGCAGTAATCGCAAAGTGAAAAATGATCTCACCTTACTGCTATTTCACTTCTACATTAGCTGAAATAATATAGCAACTTCCACTTAAAACTTTTGGAAGCTGGGTTTAAGAGAGCTTATACTTGCGCATGTGTACACACATACCTTAAGGGTAATGCACTGGTCATGCCAATCTATTCTTTTAAACCTGATCACATTGCCTTAATGGAGAGAGAAAAAAGAAGTGGTCTAGTTATATTCGTTTCAATTAATTTTCTTTATGAAAATGCTTATTAGTGTTTAGAAAAGATTCTAAACTAATAAACCTTTTATTATGTAAGTGGAATGTAGTTGCCAGGCTTTTTAAATATCAGTGGACAATGTGAGCTAGACTGAATTCTAGTCTTTGCTGCACAGTTGATCTGGAGAGAGGCGGGAGTTTTTCTTTCTAGTATAGAGGCAAGAGAATGATTTTTTTATTTTATTTTTTTTTTGTAGTGGTCACCATATAGATATTTTTTCTTGATGCAAACTTACAAAGAAACACTGATCTATCAATTAGAAAATGGTAAGGAGTGGTATGGTGGTAACAGTAGTGTCCCTTTCTAAATCAGGAGTATACCTCAAAAATTCACAGCACTTCCTTTAACTCCCCGATCTCCTTATAACAAATAAATGTCACTAAGCTTAATAAGCATTCCCTTTTGCCCACACCAGGTGAAGCTGTACATCTTGCTCGTGACTTTGGTTATGTATGTGAGACAGAGTTTCCTTCCAAAGCAGTGGCCGAATATCTAACTAGACCACACATGGGCCGTAATGAAATGGCAAACAGGAAGAATATGCTTCTTGCTGCAAAGTAAGTTTTGGGCTTGGATTTTCTTCTTTTTAAGGATGCTTTTGTCTGATCATGAGTATCTGTGACTGAGGGCAGTTTGGTACATTTTCACGTGTAACTTTAATCTGGAAACGTTTTTTTTATTTGGTTTTTGTTTGAATTCAACTATGACAAGTTATTTTATCTAAACCAATAACAACAATAATAACCCTGTATAATAACTGCAAAGCAGTTTGGACTAATTCTGTTATTTTATTTCTTTTAACAGTAGTAAAAACTTAAGGAAAATGTCCTATACAAAGACAGATATACCTCTAAGGAAAAACTGTCTCTGAGTGTCACAGGGTGGAGGGCCTGGAAAGAGGTGTGCCCCAGGAGTGTAAGCCGGTGTCAGGACTGAGAGCAGGAGGTGGTTCACCCCCCTATCTGCGTACATGCAGCCCAGAGGGACATCTCCAAGGAGAGTTACTGGTGGGCATGCTGGATGTAAGGAGCTCAGGACCCATGTCCTCACAACTGCTTTTGGCAGTAGCAGCACACAGGTTTCTCCCATTGGACGCTTAAGAGTCAAGACTTGTGGGTAGTCCCTTTCTGGGGAAGTTCTTTATAGTTCAGTGAAAGCCAGCCTTTGGTAGATGTGAAACATCCCTGCACTTAACTAAATTCCTTCTACAAACTTTGATGAAGAGGGAAGGTTAAGGGAGAGAAGCTCTGTTATGGCTGTTCTGCAGACACTTGTAACTGTAAATAAACCATGTACTGGACAGGTTTCTGGTAGGAAATACCTGTGTTGAGTTATGCTTATCTTAAACCAGTGGCTGGAGTGCTTGCTGCCTTCCCAGGCTGAGGTTTAACAGGCTCACAATACTTTCTGGTCTGAGAAGTTTTCCGGTTTGGGGTCGATGTAATTCCTTGCTTTTTTTTGAAAGCACCCTTGCTCTGCAAGAGGATCTGAGAAAAGCCTGTCTAAACTATTGAGTTGCCTTGACTTTGGGCTTGGATCAGGCATGCAAAAAACACTCCTCCTGTTGTCGAATTAATCCAGCCTTCCTGAAAAAGACCTTCTTTTACAAGATATATTCTGCGTAAAGGAATATTTCTCAGAAATTTAGATATGTAACATCTCTCTTTCCTATAGCTTGAACGTTTTGCTTTTTACTGAGCCCCACTCCTTCTGCTCCCTTCATTTTCATTATTGGTTTTGTTATTGGCACTATTAACAAGAATCTTTTTGGAAGACACTTGTGATTGACAAATTCTGATAAAGTGATTCTGTTAAGATTGCTCAGCTCCTGTGAAATCCCATCAAGGGGACAGATTTGCAAGCAGCAAACAACATATGCTTGAGCATTATTAACTATTCATGTTTTGCCAGGCATATGTGTTCATGTTTGCAGGATCAGGGCCCAGGTCTCTCTTAAAGAGGGCATATATGTGTAATATGCACAACTGACTTGAATATTCTATTGAGCTGCTTTAGTCTTTCTAAATCATTTTACTGCAGCTGTGGATGTTCTCACAGAAACTAGTCCTAAATTCCCACTCCCCCCTTGAAATCTAGAGCAAATGACACAGAGCCAGCCAGACACCAGAGGTGGAGAGATTATTTTGTAGAGTCTGTGTGGGTTTTGTGACATAAATATAACAGCAAGTTCATCAGGAACTGATGCTAATAAATAAGCTTTAATTTTAGACACTGCTGCTGCTGGAGTAGTGAATTTCTGAAAACTCTTAATTCCCACAGAACTGCCAAATACTGGATAAGGCCTTTCTGTTATTTTTATTTATTTATTTGCTTTTGCATAAATTCTCACCGTGTTGTAAAGTGTGATTATGTTGTGTCTTGCAGGCAGATCTGCAAGGAATTCACAGACCTCCTCACTCAGGACAGAACTCCTCTTGGAAACACAAGACCAAGTCCCATCTTGGACCCTGGCATCCAGGGCTGTTTGACTCATTTTAGCCTGATCACGCATGGCTTTGGGAGTGCTGCCATCTGTGCTGCCATGACATCTGTCCAGAACTACCTAAATGAAGCATTAAAAATAGCAGACAAAACATACATGAACGCTGGTGACCAGAGCCCTGCAGAAACCAACAAAACTATTGATAAAATGGATAAACACAGGAAGTAAAAGGAGGGAAACCAGACTTTAAACTCTTCCTCCTAAGCACAGACTGGGATCTTCTTGCCAGGGGGAACATAGAGATTTTTTTTTTTTTTTTTTTTTTTTTTTTTTTTTTTTTTTCTTTTAATTTTTTTTTTTTTTTTAAAGAAAATAGGGGAAAAAGGGTGAAAAAAAAAAAATCATCTTATTCAGGATCATCACTCCTCCTGGATCCACGAGACAAGTCTTTCTAAAAGCTGCAGTATCCCTTACCTGTGGAAGCAATTACCAGAAGATAAGTACTTGGTACAAGTATATTGAAATCCTTTGCTGTAAAGTGGTGCTATAAAGGGGTTTTGATGGAAATATGCAAAGAGATATATTTAGATTTCTTTTCCACATCTAAGTATCTAGTGGTGACCAGCTTCATGCATAGTTTTTAAGATACAGATTTTAGATGGAAGCCTATTTGTTATCGGATAAAATTTCAGGGTTTTATTCTCTCTAAATGCAACAGTAACAATAAAGCAGTATTAAACAATGATATATAGATTTATGTACATTAAAATTTTTTATAAACATCTGAAAATAGTAAGATTATTCTGTGGTGGTTTTTTTTTTTGTGGTTTTTCTTCTTTATTTTCAGATTACCTTAGGAGAGTACTAAAATCCTACTCGACTTAAAAGTTATCTGATGGCATTTGACATGCTGATTTATTTTTTTTTTTTTTATGGGAATATTCAGGCTTCATTACTGCAGTAATATTGGCTGCAGTGAATCTTACCTTGATTTTATTTTCTTTTTTTAAACAAGGAATAGTTCAGAATGAAAATGCTTTTAGAAAATTCTGTGTCTAAGGATATTGCAGCTTTATTAACATATTTATATTGTTTTCAAATTGGGAGCGAGCTTGAAAGAATAGGCACATAACTTTTTTTGAATATTTTCTTTTTTTTGCCTATTAAGGCCAAAAACTATTTCCAGGGAGGATTTATGTGTATTAACGGAAGCAGTGTGTTGAATGTAAATATTTATTTATGTGTAATTTAATCGGATTTGTAAATAATGGTGAACTTTTTAATACTTTTTTGTTTTTATAAATGGGTTTCAAATGTTTAATTTTGGTAAGTATTTCAAAGGTAATGGGTAAGCTAAACACACGTTTAGGTTTATGCACAAGTATGTTATACAGGGTATTTAAGACTTTTTTTTTTTTTTAATATCTCAATTCTTGCCACTGAAGATTAGATTTAATCTGAGGTGTATGTTCACAAAGCAAAAGTTTTGTGCATCATTCACCTGATAACTGACTAGACATGCAAAATGGGTGTGTGAGTTAGTGTGTATGTGAATAACGGAGGTTCTGAACTCTTCACATATTTGTAAATGTTCCCAATATAATTCTGATGTATATGATAACCATATAATAAAAGTATTCTGGATAGAAGCATGGAATGTTTTATTAACTGAAACCAGTTTTGTTTTGTTTTTATACTTCGGGAATGTGGGGCGAGTAGCACCAGAGGACGTTATGTATTGAATCATAATCGCAGCACTTTAAGTTTAACAGAACAGAAATACGAAGCTGTTTGCCAGTTAAACTTGTGGTTTCAATTAAACATGTATCTCCAAGAATTTATTTTTTTTTTTTTTTCTTAAGATGTCACTATCATGCAGGCTGCCTATTTAAACAGGCAGCTGAAACACAAACTGCAAGATCAATCTCGCCAGCTTTGTTTGCTAGTGAATCTGGCTTTGTCTCCAATGACAAATATTTGCAAAGTCCCGGGGTGTGAAATCTGATAGGTCTCTCATCTGGTTTCAGCCCAATTTTGCTGATTTGAGGAAGTTTATGGCATTTTGTAGACAGTCCCCAAAGTGCTCTGTGCGGTAGTGGGGAGGCAGGATCTGAGGCTTTTGGTGGCATTTAGTGTCTTGGGTGCAAAATAGCCAAGCAAACCTTCCTAAAGAGAAAAGGTGTTTTGTGTTGTTTTGTTTTTTCCCCAGTGCTTTCTAAAAAGGAAGACCATGAACCTGAGCTTCAGTTTGTCCTTGGCATTTGAGCACCAGATCAATCTGTCAGGTGTGTAATTAGGGAAAACATTAGGAATGGTGATGCTGGGCAATAACTGAGAGTAAGAATTTGGTTCAGGTTGTGGCAGTGTGTTTCTTTTGCAGATGTGGAGAAGAGGCAATATGTATGATTTCTGAAGACTTGAATTATAAGTCCTTTTTAGGTTCTCCTTTTTTCCTGTAAAGGATATACAGGCAAACTACTGAAGGTGTGCAGGGGGAAGAAAGGGAAGCTCAAAGAAATGAATGAATATATCAGTGGTGAGCAGGGAGAAAGCTGGTTTTTTGAGCTGCAATCCAGTCTCCTTCTCCCCTAAAGAGGTGTGAAATTCCAGTCTCTTTGTATTTGTTAGACTCGTTGTAGCACTTGAAAAATAAGCATTTTGGACCATCTGTAGACAGTGCAGCCAGGACATGTGATGTCTGACAGAACTTCTAAAAACAAACTATGCCATTCTGATATGTTTTTATTGATTTCATATATATACACAAAAATATGCTAGGTATGGGAAGAGCTTGTTTAGAGAACGTGATGCTAGAGTTCTGATTTTTTTGTTGGTGTTTCTTTCCTGTTTCTGCTGCTGTGCTGCTTATACAGCATATACAGTAAGATATTTTAGCTACCAGACAATGGAATCTTGCTTTTCATTAACGCATAAAACCAGGCTCTGAAATGATTGCCCCTTGGGATAGGAAATAAGGATGTTTCCATTTATTCCTGAGTGCATTCAAGCAAAGCTAGTCAATTGTCTAATGTACTGACTCGGGTTCTATTTATATGTTTGGAACATTAGAAATGTTGAGTTTCCATTACCTTAATGCTTTTCCTCTACTGTATATTTTAGATGGTATGTTATTTTGAGGCTTGACTACCTTATAAGCTGTGTCAGTAATATGAAACAAGAACAATGTCTTCTGCTCCATTCACTGAAGAGAGCAGTAAAACTCTGACCTGAACTTGTCTGTCATCTGAAATTACTAATCTTAAAGAAAATGTTACTAGGTTAGTAACTTTATGGGAACCTGAAATGCACAAAGTTGTCTGAACACACAGTTTGCTCTTTCCTGATGCTCAACTTTTGCTGCTTTTACATAGGCTATTCCTGGGCTGGCTAAAAGTTCTAAAGTAAGACTCCTGAAGTTCCTTTTTTTCATTTAATTTAAAAATGGAATATCCGAAAGACTGTCCAATCTTGTCCTTTGCCCTTCTCCCAGAAAAGTAATGGGTATGGTCTTTATATGAAGGAAAATTACTTTAAGCTATTAGGAGTTAAAAATAAAAATTCTGCTTTTGAAATGGACCATTTTAATTATTGCCCTTCTGCAAAGATGTTGTTTGATAGGCACCCACAAAATAGTTGAATTCATGTCACTCGGTATAAAAATGGAAAAAGAATATGTGTTGACCATCTCTTGCCTGGCCATTTGAGGATGTGGGGGTCTGCCCCTGGCGCTGCTGGAGCCATGGCAGGCAGGAATGTTGCTTCCTATCACCCATGGCAGCTGACGGCATGGCCTTTGGAATTGTATCAGCTGACAGACAACCCGAATGGTACAGATTATTAATGGCAAAGCTGATGATTATTCAAGACCCCAGCTCATACAATCATCTGACTCCACAGTAGTGTTGCTTTCAGCTTAAAAATAGTTTTTTCCCAGTGTGCATAGCTTCAGAGAGAAATAATGATGCAAAACTAGTAATACATAAGAAAACAAGGAAAAAGAATGAGCTTCTTAATAACTGATTTCAGGTAACTTCATCTTTGACTCTGTTTTTGCTTTGCTCTTCGCTTAGTTCACTATTATTTACAAACAGCTCATCTCACCCTGTCTCTTGGCTGCAGCCTGGCTGGTGCCTGTTCCTCTGCTCCCTCAGACTTTTGCAATACAAATAAACCCAGCAATGCATCTTGAAATGAGTGAAGCTCTCTGTGACAGCCTGCTGTGCTTATTAGTTGTGGCCCTGCTCTATTTTTTTTCCCCATATGAGAGGTTTAGGTGTATCTTTGTAGTTATTTTGGCCTAATGGTGTGCAGCCTTGGCCCTAGTGGGCTTGGGCTGTCTTCTGGAACATGTTCTGCAATGAGAGCTTCATTATTTATTACTAAGAAAAAAAAAAATAGAGTGTTATTAAGATTTTGTCCTTAAACTGTTATTTCACTAAAATAACATAATGAGGTTCGGGACGAAGATGCTTCCCTCTCAAAAAAAGCAAGCTTTGAAGCATAACATGTTTGTGCTCATTGATGTTTGCATATTTGCATGGGGAACCTAGAGCCTGTTTTGCCGAGCACTCCAGGGTCCTGTTGGGATGGTGACTCCAGGCCTGGTGGTGAGCTACAGGATGCGTATGGAACCATCCAAATGAGAATGGTTTCAACCCCAGCCACAGACAGAGATAACCATGTCCTTGCAAAATCTGTTTTCCAAACCAGTTGTGGTCTGTCATAACATTTCTAAAGTGCCTGGCTATTGCTACTGCCTGTTGCCTAATGTCACATTATCCATGTAGCTGCATGGATGACCAGCTCTGTCCAAATCACACAAGGCCTGCACCGAAACCATATTTTTAACAAATTGTTATGTTCTGTTCTGTATGATTTGCTGCCTTCTCCCTCTTTCATTTTCACTTTCTCAGGGTTATATAAGCTTTCCTGGTTTCAGATGCCATTTTGCATTCATTGGATATTCTTAAATGTCTCACAAAGATGTCCCAGATGGTTTCCATGTGCCATTGTTGTGTAAGGGCTGGCCACAACTATTCCATTTTTCCTCTCTTTTGGCTGAACAGCCCTTTTTAACTGGTTCTTGTGAAGGCTTAGCTCACAGGCTACTACTGTTCCATGACATGTTCCCTGAATATTCCATTTAATCTACAGTTTTACCCACAATTTAAAACATATAACCGTACAGACACTTGCTCTGTCTGCCACAAACCCCAGATATTTTTTCG